CCATCAATCAATATTCGGTTAACCTTTTGCTCTTGCACATAGCCGGCCACGAACAAGGGTCTGTTGTGAGGCTTAGAACCAAGCAGCAGATCTTCATCAGTAAAGACCATCATGGAATCATTATCAACATGGTGATTTTCAACCTCAGGCAAATTGTTTTCTTCTAGCGGAGCTTCGTGCTCATTTGTCATATTGCAAGCTTCACTTATATGATTAGCAGTTTCACTGTTTTCTTCCAGTGAGATTTTTCCTTGGCGTGTCAGCTGCATAACCTTGTCCTTGAATACGAAGCAATCATGAATTGGATGCCCTACAAGACGGTGGTATTTGCAATATTTTGGGTCGTTCACCCTGCCAGCTTCTTCAGGACGCTTCATCTTAGGTAACTCAATGAGTTTTGCTTCCATCAGATCGTCAAATATGACAGAGACGTCTGTATCAAGGAATGGGTACTGCTTTGCTTGCATTTCTTTCAGATTCAATCTTCTTTGTTCAGTTTCCTTGGGGACATCCTTCTTTTCAATGGCTTTATCAGCAGCTTTTCCTTTGAACTTGACAGGCATAGCATTGATCGTCATGGACTCCTTATTTTGAGATTTTGAGAAAAATTTTCCCCCTTTCCTTTGCTCATATCGGTCCTTGGAGCTTTGGGGTTCTTGAATTGGAGGACCATTAGCTCCACTTGCGGCCATGCTTAGCTCCATGTCGTGGGCTCGAGTCGCTAACTCTTCGAATGTTTTCGGCCGAATACCTTGAAGAATGTAACGAAGACCCCAACTCATACCTTGAATGCACATCTCAATGGCAGAAGCCTCAGACAGACGATCCTTGCAATTCAGACTTAGGTTCCTCCACCTATTGATGTAGTCGATGACTGGCTCTTCCTTCCATTGTCGAGATGTAGTGAGCTCGATCATGCTGACCGTACGTCTTGTGCTGTAAAAGCGACTAAGGAATTCGTGCTCTATTTGCTCCCAGCTATCGATGGAGTTTGCTTCTAAATCAGTGTACCAGTCAAATGCAACCCCTTTGAGGGAACGAACAAATTGCTTCACGAGATAATCACCATGAGTTCCCGCATCGTTGCATGTCTCAATAAAGTGGGCTATGTGTTGCTTCGGGTTGCCTTTGCCATCAAACTGCTGGAACTTGGGAGGTTGATATCCAATAGGCATCCTCAAGTTATCGATCCTTGGTGAATATGGCTTGACGTAGTTGTGGGTTGACTTGGAACCACCATCAAGTTTATCCTTAATAAATCTTTCAGTTGATCAATGGGGATCATTCCCGTGGACGAATGTTGGAATGGAGT